TCAGTCATACTGTTTCCTCTTCCAGGAACACATCCTCCCCCTACTGTGCTTCCCCAGAGCACTAAGTTGGCCAACTCAACACAGGATCCCAGGTCTCTCCTGACACTTAGCCGTTCAGTGTCTATAATAATAGGATATATAGAATACAATATTCATTAAAGCAAGATCAATACCTGTTACTCCCTTTGTCTTGAGTGACTACTATGGTACTTAGTCATAATGAAAGTTTGATTAAAAAATAGATGAGTTAGTGAATCCAGTTAGAAAATCTTTAGCAAATATCTTCTCAATAAGTGAATAAAATTTTGTCATTTTTCTCAAAATAAAATATTATTTAGGAATAAACTGTGGCTGTAATAATGATTCAGGTAGTTATTATATGAGTTTAAGTATTTTGTGTAAAGTAAAATGTAATATTAATAAAACTATGACTTACATGTAACTGTTTCCCAGAAATATTTAGATGATTGAGAACCATGTTCTTCACATTACAATCAAAGCACATTATCTGATGAAAAAGGGGAAACTTGTATCATTAAAATTCTTGATTAAAAATAAGAACATAAGGGACCCGTAGATGGTTATGTCGCTGGACTCCCACATAGTCAACCACAGTTTGAGTCCCAGACCCATTGACTTAAAACTCACACCATGCATGCTCAGAATCCCAAGAGGAGAATGGAGGAGAAGGAATTGTGGCATAGTTATCCCTCCTGGGAGATGGTTTCTCACTTTCTGTCTCTCCCTGTCTCTCTGGCGAGCACATGCACCCAATAGCAAAAATATTCTTAAATAAATAAATAAATAAATAGATAGATAAATAAATAAATAAATAGATAGATAAATAAATAAATAAATAGATAGATAAATAAATAAATAAATAAAACACAGGGCCAGCACATGCTATAGTGATTAAGGAGGCTGGATCCCACATGACCAACAATGCGTTTGTAGTTTCAGACCTGGTGGCTTGATAGGCACACCAGGTGTGCATGCCCAAGATCCCAGAAGGAGGGAGAGATGAAAGAGAAAGGATTGTGGGATGACCATTCCCCATGGGGGATGCTTTCTCACTGTCTCTGTCTCTGTCTTTCTCTCTCTGTCCCTCTCCAATGAGTGCACATGCCTGCTGGCAATATTAAAAACAACAACAACACACACTTAAATTTTCTTGAAAAGTCAGAACTGACCGATACTGGGATCATCTCTTGAATTGGCTGAACCTGAATGTAAACTGATGCTCTGTTAGTTACCTGCTTCTGTAACTTGTTAGACTTTATCTGTCTATAAAATTGGATATCATCATACTGACTCACTCATTGATATAGTAAATGTTAAACATTTTAAGTTATGGAATGCTTGTATGGGGCTCAATCTAAAGTAAATAGTCAATAAAAGTTAGTAACTGTTGTTGTTAATATTTTTGAGACATTTTTTGCTATAGGGTATGTGTGCTCTCCAGAGAGACAGAGAGAGATGGAGAAACAGAAAGTAAGAATTCACCCCTCAGGGGTGATGGCTAGGCCACAATCCCTTCTCTATTCTTCTCTCAGGGTTTTGGGCATGCATGTACATATGCCCGGCATGAGTTTAAGCCTCCAGGTCCAGGACTTGAACTACAGTTGATGATGTTGAAGTCCTGCGACATAGCCATTACACCATCTGCTGGCCCCATGAATACTTATTTTTATTTTATGTCTGATCATTATAAGAGTTTCTCAATCTTTTCTTCTCTCTTAGCCTATGCTCCATAGTCACCTCTCTTCTAGCATAAAGCATATTCTGTTGGCATTAAGAAGGAGACTATTTGTTGGTGGTGTATGTCCTTGTGGCTGGCTATGTTCATAATCCCTTTAGTTCTGACTTATACCCATCCTTATGGCTATTCTCAAAACAGATAGCTCAATACCATGTTCTTTTCCCTTGGAGGAAATGAGACGCAAATCAGGGAACAAAGCCTATGCATTAAAGCACGTCATGATTCTATAATTACTTAAAATTGCTCTATTATTTACTAGCACAGGGGCTGACATGTGAGCATTTGTTTCAGCACATTTATAAAATATATGCTTTTAATTTTATTAGTGTAATTTTATATACCTGATGGGAGAGGATTTGTGCATTCTCAAATCATAAGAACAGAAAATTGTTTCCTTCAGACTCAGATTTTGGTTTATACCTAGAACTGTATGTTTTCTAGTCATTTCTTACACACAATGGAGAAAGAAATGTAGATGATATGTCTGCATATTTATTTTTTCCTCCTAGTATAGTATAAGTTGGTGTTAAAATATGGAGGGCACTGAATATAATGCTAAGGAGTTTTACAACAGGTAAGCAGTGTCTTCACTGGACATTTTCACACCAGTGCATCAGCAAGTAATAGGTCCTCAAGTGAAGAAAGATTTTGAGATAAACTGAAGGCAGTGGATATCATTTTTAATCATCTAAATAAGAAACTATGACTGTGACAGTGAAAGGGATGCAAAATACTTAAATTTTTTTATGGTTGGGGCCAGCAGGTGGCATGGTGGTTAAGGGCACTGGACTCCCACATAACCAACCTCAGTTTGAGACCTGGGCCTGGCAGCTTTCTCTCTGTCTCTCTCTTTTTTACTTTGTCCCTCTCTGGTCAAATTAAAAGAAAGAAAGAAAGAAAGAAAGAGAAAGAAAGAAAGAAAGAAAGAAGAAAGAAAGAAAAAGAAAAGAAAGGAAGAAAGGTAAATAAAATAATTATTTGTAAGAAACTTTGAAAATAACTTTCAGAGTTAATGTCAATGGGTTGTGGCTATTAATTTTACATGAGGTTTGAGGGTAAGAGGAAATTGAAAATTGTCAGAGTTTTATTGAAAATACTTTGATATCGCTAGTGAGGAGAGGTAACAGAGAAGAAGTAGATTTTAGGTAAAAGATCTTTTCTTTTTGAATAAAATTGGACTCATGAAAAAAATAAGGTTTTAGTGTCATCCTCAGATAAGGTATACCTAATATAATTAGAGTGGATATAATTCTCACAAGAACTGTGATAGATTAGTGAAAGGATTAGAGTATCTCGTGTTAAACTTTGAGGAATATCTATGTCAAAGGCATTCTCATAGCTATTACAGAAAAAGCACAGAGACAGAAGAAGGCAAAAAGAAAATAAGAAGAAAAAGATGTGGACCAGGTTCAGAGACGAGTCGGTAAAAAAATGGAAATAATTTCAAGGACAAGGAATTTTATGACCCAATGATACAGAAAGTGTACTTTACTGTAAAATGCTGGAAAAAAATCTAGTGTTACAAAATAGTACTCATCTAAAGGAAGAAAACATGACTGAAGGTTTGACTTGATTTTAAAGAAAATCTAGTGATAAAAATGTTAAGTTAAAATACTACATATTGTTTCCTATTATTAGTGTAAAAGGCTTTGTGCCTTAGTGATATTTTATTTTATTTGTTTATTCACTTGACTTTGATATTGCAACCACAAAGTTCATTCATTATTTACTATCGGCAATGCAGAGTTTCTGCAACTGCACCTAGGGGGAATAAGCTTTAAAAATAGTACAGAATACTGCTATGTCTAAATATCGTTTTTTTCTATTTCCAAGTACAAAGCTCATCAAACAAAGATAGAGTCATATTTTTTAAATAAATATGAAAATTAAATATCTTTTTTAAGCAATCAAAATCTGCCTTTATGGTTATTTTTCTTTCTGGGAATACAATCAAGATTATTTCAGCATGTGTTTGTAATCATGCTAATCTGGCCAAACTGCTGTTAATTATTTTATAAAGATTTTGTAATTTGTCGTGTTGTATAAAACCTCTCCTGTACAAATTTGCTGAGGTAAGTATTTATTATATTTAGGGAACACAGAACAACATATAAAATATTTGTGAAGAGTTATTCATCTTGACTTCAAAAATTACTAATTGCGTGAGAGACATCTTATATTTCATAAAAACTTGAGCTTCACCATCTGCTCCAGTGTCTGTCTCTTATGTTGAATTTTATGGTTTGTAACAATTAGAGAAGTATTTTTTAATAATCAAAATATTTGCAGTAAAATGAAAACACATGTGCACACTGAAATTCTTTCTGTATAGGCTTTGATTGTTAGAGTCTGTTATGAAGCCATATGGAACTGAGTAGAAGAAAGACAAAACTAAAACATACTTGAATCTTTTATGTAATACGTGAAGCTTCTTTGTAAAGTCCCTATTTAGCTATTTTATCAGCATTTACCACCACTAACAGGAGTCTTCTAGAACTGTGCCATGCCAGGAATTTGGCACAGCACAGCCCAGCACCTGAGCTTAGCAGAGGAGTCTCGCTGTGGAGAAGGACTAACTGCATGCAAAATCACTCCATGACTTCATGCTCCTTTATCTTACCTGACTCCTTGAAATCTTCACTTTCTCATCAACAGAACATGTCTAACCATCATTTCTCCTCTGTAGGTTTGTTTTGGATTAACAAAAAAATGTACATAAAGCACTTAACTAATCACGCCAGTTCTCAGTGATGGAGGATTATAATGATGATGATGAAAACAATCCTTTCTTTCCTAGGAAAACACAAAACTCCACATTCAGAGGACTTTACATCCATCAAACAGTAACATGAATCTCTAGAAAAGCTGCTTTAATGTGTAGGCTCAAGTAAATCATCATGGAAACCCATTTTCTTGCTTTAAATGGAAGATTGCATGGCCTATGTTCTTGGCTCAATATGAGGGGTCTTCAAAAAGTTCAGGAAAAATGTGTATTATGAAAAAAACTATCTATAGTTTTTTTTAAATGTGCATCTAAATAAACTTGTACTTTATTTTTTTTTTTTCTGGTAACTTTTTCAAGTTTCCTTATACAATTAGTGATACTGACAATTGCATAAAGGGAAGGAGTTGTGGAGAAGAATGTTTAAAAGGCATGCCAAGTGATTGCGGCCAGAGATGGAAAAAGAATAAAACTGGAGAGAAAAGACTTTTTTTTTTTTTTTTTTTTTTTTGTCATCAGATTGGCTCCAGGAATAGAAAGATTTTTCCCATTTCTCTTGAATCTACTAGACACCAGCAGGCTGGGGGCTGAGGGAATGCATTGTCATCCTGAGGGTAAGAACTGAGAGTCCCAGAATCCATACCCTGGTCATCATGTGTTCTCAGGTTAGACAAAGCTGCTTATCATTGGAAAGTACCAGGATGTCCTTAGACACATGGTGGGGTTCCCCAACACACAATAGTCTCATTAGACATCCAGCGTACGTGAGGTGGCACGAGCACTGAAAACTTCTCTGGGCGTGGGTAAAGTGTCTGTAAATGGCTCACCAAGAGACTGCAGAGCATTGCAGAATATGGGCAGAGGTCCTTGTTGAGGTTAGAAGTGTCTAAACAGATTTGGGTATAAAGAGTCGTGTAGACTCCTTTACATTTATTTACACCCAATAATACTTGGATTTGAGAACTTCTAAATTAAAGTACTTTATAGTTAATTTATTGTACATTTTCTTTAGAATTGTCACAATAAGAGGTGGCATCATGGTTAAGGTGCTAGACCCCCACAAGGCCAACCATGGTTTGAGTCCTGGACCTGGTGGCTTGTTTTCTCTCTCTCTCTCTCTCTCTCTCTCTCTCTCTCGTGAGCATGTGTGCCCTGTAGCAAATTAAAAAATAATAATAATGATGATAAATAAAATTAAATAATTCTTTTAAAAAAGAATTGCAGGTAGAAGATATAATTTTCTTCTCCTTCTGTTTTTCAGTATAGGAAAATGAAACTTGGCAAGTAGCCAAAATCAGAGTTAATAAATAACAGATCCAAAACTCAAATTCAAATCTTCCTAACTCCAAAAGCCATTTGCTTCCTATTATACTGTTCTGACCTTATGAAAGTGCTTTGTAGAGTAAAAGATGTTATGTAAGTGCAAATTTTATCATTTTATTCCTCATTTTTTGATCTTTTATGGAAATGATTCACAAACTTTTTTAGATCCTAGTTTCATTTCATGTCCATTATAATTTTTTAAATATACTTTTAAGCACTAAATGACCTTGACTTAATCTCAAAAAAATGCATTGTTTGAATAATTAATATGATGGTCATTAACAGATTACTTAATGTTATATTTTATCCCTGCAATTATATATTATAACATGCATTTTTATTCCTGGAAACACTACCTACCTTTAGTGACTTTTCAATACAGTTTAATAAAAGTAATCCATCTACAGAGTTATTAAATATTCGGACATAACTAATTCTCAAACTATTGGTTAGTAGCTTAAAATAATTTTCTAGAGGGTGTGTGCTCACCAGAGAGAAACAGAGAGACAGAAAGAGAGAGAGAGAGCTGAGAAAGGATACCCCCATGGAAGACGGCCACATCATCTCCTCCATTTCTCCTTTTAGGATTTTGGACAGACACACACATGCACCTGGCGTATTTTTTAACCCTCTGGGTCCAGAACTTGAACTGCCCAGTTAGCCATGTGAGATCTGGCTCCTTTAACCACCATGACACAGGGTGACTCCAGGTCAGAAGTTTTAGTAGATACTTTTAGAAAAGCTTGAGAAATATGATGGGCACATGTGTCTGTGCCTCAAACCCCAACAGGATGAAGAAATGTAGGAGAACAGGTTATGACATGGCCATGTCCTCTTTCTCTCTCACTCTCTGTCTCTCTCTCTCTAGTGAGCACATGTGCCTTCTGGAAGAAAAGAAAAGAAGAGAGGGGAGGGGAGGGGTAAGGAGAGAGGGGGCGAGCAAGAAGAGAAGAGGAGAAAAGAGAAGAGAAGAGAAGAGAAGAGAAGAGAAGAGAAGAGAAGAGAAGAGAAGAGAAGAGAAGAGAAGAGAAGAGAAGAGAAGAGAAGAGAAGAGAAGAGAAGAGAAGAGAAGAGAAGAGAAGAGAAGAGAAGAGAAGAGAAGAGAAGAGAAGAGAAGAGAAGAGAAGAGAAGAGAAGAGAAGAGAAGAGGAGGAGAAAAGAGAAAAGAAAAAAAGAAAAAAGAAAGAGCATAAAAAAAGCACTAATACATGACCCATGACTCATCCATGAAATTTTGATTTAACTTTTTACAAATGAAAACAGACAGTAATATTTTTATTTTAAAAGCTTGTCAACTAATGCTATTAATGATCATCCAAAGCTGAGAAACATTACATGAATTTATTTTACTGCATGGGATTTTATTTTTTTATTGACTCTGACTTATAAGTCCATGTGATACAATGCTTATTAAAGCATATAAAATATACTTTATCAGAATTTTATTGGAGTTTTTTTTTGCAGTAATTTCTTAGTAAAAGATGTTTAGCTATTAACAATTCATTAACATTCTTCGTTTTCCTTCATGCTATTTAATAAATTGTGCCTTCAAATAATTGACCAGCCTTCACTTTGAAAACTTTACATAAAAGTGCTTCTCCTGTCTGTTCTTTGCTGAAGTACAGTGATATTCTATCTTGATTACAAAATATATAGATTTGTAAGTGTTGGTGACTTCCCAAAAAGTCTCTTCTCGTGTGTAAGCTGTCTGAAACACATGGCTTTCATTTTATCCCCAAAATATTTACTCTAAGACTTTGAATTAGCAACTGAAACACACATTGCACCCAAGGCAGTGCTTGGCCTGGCCAAAGTAGACAGCCTGGGGAGTCTCAGAACAGTCTGTCATACATGCCATTTAGCCATGCCAAGTCTCACATATTCTTTACTAGGTAACTAAAATGTCACCATGTTGATTATGTTTTAGAAAAGGCTACACTGCATTATACTATTTACCTAAATGTAAGAGGGTAGATATAAGAAACACTCATTTCTCCCTTTTTTAAAACTGTGAAGATGTTCCCCATGTTTGTCCCTTTAAAAGGCTCACAGACCTGGTTGACCAGCTGCCAGCCCTCGGCTTCCCCACTTCCGACCCTACTCTTCTTATTGCCAAGTATTTTCAGACCAGTCATCGTGAGGAAATTGTTATTGCCTTTCCACACACATATATATTCCAGTAGAAAACATATGTCTGTGTACATTTTTAAATGTAAATAGACTACCTGTTTTAAAATTCTTAAAAAGTTAAAACAATATATCTGAAGGATTTTGTCATAAAATCTATATAGACCTGAAGCTCTAAAACTAATCATCTAAATCTACCTGTATCTATCTGTCTAGCGATCATCTATCTATCTATCCTAATATAAGGTCTATGTAGCAATTTTTCTTTTAAGGAGATGTTTAAGTTGTTTTCAATTATTAGAAAATACCATAAATTCCTCTAATACTATTGTAAGTTTTCTCTATGGAAGACCCTAAGAAATAGAATTTCTGAGTTATTTGATATTCACATTTCATTTTAACTAAGTAATATCACATTTGTTCAAAAAAGTTAATTTTAAAGTATCATCAGTTTTGTATTAAAGTATCCATTTTACCGTAAACTTTAAATTTAGGAAATTTTAAAAAATGGGTCAATTTAATCAGAATTTCATCTCTGTATTGACTAATATCTATCTATCTAGAATCCTCACAATTATTGCTCTGGATGGATTTAATTTTACAGGATTACTGGTTGTTTATAATTGATTTTTGTGTGGGATTGATATTTTTTCACTATTGATTGTTATTTTATATAATCTGTAGAACTTAATATTAAATCATATACTATCCTTTAGTCTAAAATATGGAGTATATTGCATATTCTTAGTTTGTCAAGTATCCATTGCATTATCTAAAAGAAATTTAAATTTTAACTCACCATGATCAAGACTTTAAAATGCTTTGTTATGAGTCCTTTTTGCTTTGTTTTAGAATAACTTCTTTTCTCCATAGACATGAACACTATGTGTATATTTTCTTGTTATCTTTTTATCAGCTGATAGAATTAGCACATTAAGATGTCAACTTTTTTTTTTTTCTTCTTGGTATAATATATAGAACCTAACTTTAGTGTTGAATTGATGTTCCCTAATTTTGTGAATTTATTTATTTATTTGTTTATTCTTATAGAGCACCTATGTACACAGGGAAATATGAGAGAGAGAGAGAGAGATAGGAACACCATTCACTGAGCCTGGTCACATCACGGTCACCTTCTTCCAATCCTCCAGCTAATTAGATTACAGGCATTTGTGTGCATGTTTGGCATGCTTCAAACTGACCAGGGTAGAGATTCAAACCTCAGTTGCCATGTGGCATCCAGCTTCTCTTGAGCAGTCCATTACTGCTGTACCACATGATTGGCCCTAGTAATTTATTTTTGATGGTATCTTTATTGCCACTCTTTACGTACAAATATATAGTACACCAACCCTATATGATGCTTACAGTATTCAGCAGGCAGTACCCAATATCATTACCCTATGCATTTCTGACTAATGTAATACTTTTCAGGAAGAAAAGTTTAATGCATATCTTAATTAAGTCCTGCCTGATTTTAGATACATTTAAAATGAACTACATCTGTGCAGTTTGGGGATTTTTTCCCCTTTGCTTTGAGCTGACTCATCCTGTGTATGTCCTAGAACTAATAGTTCTATGAGGGTTGAAAGAAGCTGGAATAAAGAGCAGCTGATTTTCAAGATTTAGTTTCCTATTTGATAACCTTATCAGTACACTACCAGATGTTACAGTAATCATTTTCTCCACTGAAGCAGCTGTGATTTTTATGTGGAATACCTAATTGGTCATCATGAGGGCTATATTACTGTCAACTGCAGAAAAAGTCATTGAAATTGGATTAAAATAAGAACTGGATTACTGCTTCATGGGGCCCTAGGAAGCTTTGAGTACGTTTAATTGTCCGGGAGCCAACAAAGAAGAAAAACAACTAGATGAGTCCAGATTTGTGTCTGCTCCTCATACTCAGGATTACAAGGACAAAAAAGTCCGATGAGTGTTCAAGTTCAAAAATAAATCGATTGCAATTTAAAACTGTTTTCTAAACTTGCATAAAAATAATGGGTTAAGTAAACCTACAGGAAAATGAAATTGATGAAAACACATCTAAAACTTACTAGTATAATAGAAAGGAAGATAAAACAAATCAACCTATTATAGTGAGTCGTCTCTGTCAAACCCGTAGTGAGGCACTTTGAAGCACAATATTTTATTTTACGTTCAAAAGAATAAAATGCAATAGAATAAAACTTTTCTTATGCTATGCACCATCTTTCCAACAGTATTCTCTTCAATTTTTTGACATGCCTTATAAAAGTCAGTTGTAGCATAAATAGATCTTCTGTCTTATAGAATAGTTTGTAAACAGATTTTTTTTTCTTCTATAAATGTAAACATCTGGTGTCTCTAATATTGTCTCTACTTCTGGTTTTCAAAATGCATTCACTCTGTAGAAGCAAATAAATGGGACAATTATATCAGTTGATTTGGGGAAACATTTTTAAATTTTTAATGTGAAAAATTTATGCCTGCTCATTCTCTTTGTAGATAAGAGTTGAAAGTTGCAGAGCAGAAATAAAATTTAAATTAAAAAAAAAAGAATCCATTTCATCTTTATCCACATACCCACATGAAAAAGTAATTACATTTTTTGGCTCTAATGATTGGTAGAAACACCAAATCCACTCCTTTTAAAGATTCCTCTAGGAACCAGCAGTTAGCGTAATGGCTATGTTGCTGGACTCCCATGTAGTCGACTGCGGTTCGCGTCTGTGATCCGGTGGCTTAAAACTCACGCCGGGCGCGTGTGCATGCCCAGGATCCCAGGAGGAGAATGGAGAAGGATTGCGGCATGACCATCCCCCCGATTTCTCGCTTTCTGTCTCTATGTCTCACTCTGTCTGTCTGGCGAGCGCACATGCCCTATAGCGAAAACCTCTCCAAAAAAAAAAAAAAAAAGCCACCTCTAAGAGCTCTTGATGAAGCCATTTATTATAATAATTTTTAATTGATCACATTGCTTATAAATATGTCATTTATATTATCGTACATAAAAAATTAGTGAAATTTGTGATTGGATCTTTTTTCTTTTTTCTTTCTTTCCTTTTTTTTTTGTTAATTCCAAAGAAAATATTCTTTTGGAAAGATTCATTTTTACTTTTGTGATCTTCGAATAGATATCAATTAAATTGATTACCAGGGGAGAATTTTCCAGGAGTTAATAGCCAAAAGCGAATATCCCTTCACATTATTGTATGATCTTCTAAATAATGAAGTCATCATTCTTGTTGCCAAAAGGGTCCAGAAACTTAGATGTTACTGAAATCATTTCTCCATTCCTTACTCTTCTCATTTAATCAGGAGCTACAGCTTGTTATTTCTACCTCTGTAATAACTATTACTGCAATATTTTTCATCTGAAGTATTTAAATAGGATCTTAAACTAACCAATGTCCTCAGTAGCTTCCATTTTCTAATCTAGCCTAATCTTTTTTAAAGTACAGGTCATCACTGGACCTGTTACAACTGCTTAAAAGTATTATTGATACCAAAGAGGCTTAGCTATAAAGTTAACAAACCCATTGAAATTTCTTTCAAATTGCCCTAAATATTTTCACAATCTTTCTATATTTAGTTTGCTTATTTTTCTGTGACTTATGTTGCATTCACACTTTCATTAGTGTATGTTCTATAAATGCATCATCTATTTGAAACCACCATGACTTTGTTTATTCTCATCTTTCAACCTACACTTTTCTTTCCCTCCATCTCTACTTTTCAAAACTCTACTTCTTCACTGAATTATTTCAAAGGTCATATCTATAGGGACACTTTCCC